ATTTAACTATACCTTCACTGTGAATGAAATTCATTTTCTTTCACAAAATGCAGGGAAGATATAAGCAGAGGCAAAACGGAAGTCACTTTGGGTTGGGAAGCCCTGCTTCATTTAATAATGTCCAGTCAATAATTATTTTACTTTCTAATTTCTCTCTCGTTTACCTATCCGGATTTTTCTTCTGCCTGCCTTGACATCTCCACTGTCCAATCCAGCTGTTTGTTCCTTTTTGCCCTCTAGTTTCATCACCAAGTTATATAGCGATGTCTCTTCATCCTTGGTGAGTGGTTAGAAACATGTTTATGTAACTATAATGCTCATTAATAGACTTGCTATTATTAAGATCCTTCAAAACTCTTTACCATCCTCAGCTCGTGCAGCAGAAGAGTACAGAAATGGGATGCCCGTTTCCAAAACCAGCTTTGAAAGATGAAGAAACAGTTATGGTATAGTAGGAGGTGGGAATTAGAGATGTTCTAACATTTTCAAGAGCCCATTTTTTGTGTGAGAAAGTGGTCCATTAATGACAACTCTGTGTGTGTGTATTAGCAGTACTGCCTTCACTTATAACAGCAAACAGACCTGGCCTCAGGCAAGTATTCTTTTAATTCCTTCTTCAATCCATTTCTGACAGCTTTGATCTAACCCAAAGGAACATCCTACAAAATTCCTAGCTAACTCCTGTCCTTCTCTAAGACAAAATTAACTCCCAGAATGACTCCCTTAAACCTGTTTCAACCCATCCATTGACAGACTCTTCTAAAATCCAGAAAACAAATTAAGAAGGAAGAGATTCCAAAGAATGGAGAGACATGTGTAAGGACAGCCCCTAACAGTGACACACACACAAAATGTCCAAACTGCCCAATTTCCCACATGAGGGGCAACATCTCCCCTAGGTGAGAGTCACTGGATTGGCCGAATCTCCTTCACTCCTTAGTAACGTTAGGACTTGGGGTTAACAAGGGATAGAATGAAGTCCAAGGAGGAAGCAGAGAAGAAATTAGCTCGAAAAGCATCTATGGCAAATAGAACCGAACTCAGGCAGAGTTCGGTTTCCCTGTGAGTTCTAGTTTATCTGCCAAACTCAAGCACATCTGCAAGCCCAACGCATTTGCTTGTCTAATCGCTGGTCACAGGTTATACAAGATGCCGCAAGGCTGGAAGGGCCTTTGTGTTTTAACCTCAGGGATGGTGTGGGCAGAAATTCTGAGCAAGCTATAAATATCCAACACGCTCTTGCATAACCCATTATGCCTGTTAGGTTAATACGAGGTGTTGTTTTTGAGCCTCAGTGCTTTGTTGGCAATTCGCTGTGAATTTGGGAAAGGAGGAGACCACGGCAATGAAATGCTCAACTGGCTAGGAGCTGCCCCATGGCCCACTAACAAGGCACACTGCTCCGAAAGCTGGTTTTCTCTTGCGTTCCCTCTAGCCTTAGAAAACAGCTAAAATCTAGGAGTTTCTCCAGCTTTTAAACTTACTGGCATTTATTCATTCTATCACAGTCAATTCTCCAAGCATATTTCGTGCCATCTCATATACAAGAAAGTTCATTAAAAAGCACGCAAAGCATTTTGTGGCCTGCGTTTCCCACTAGTTTCTCCTAGTCACCCCTAACTCCCACCAAGACAGACTAGAGAGTCTGATATGATGGGCTTGTGCATTGGGAAACAAAAGATTTAGTATTACATTTCCTGCCGGTTGGTTTTGTCACTTTCTACATAAAACAAATAGCACCTCTATCCTGTGTATTTTATATGCATCCTTGGAAAAATCCAGAAACCAATCTGTATCATCTCAGCCTCTCAACAGCGTTTGACACATTTCATTACTCCTTCCTGCTTTGAAATACTTTCACTCTTGCCTCTCAGGACACACCCTCGCCTTCATTCCCAGCCTCGCTGCTGCTCCTCAGTTTCCATGACTTCTTCACTGACTGTTCTGGGGCCTGTGCTCCTTCGTGTAAACTTCCCCCGGTGACCGCCTTCAGCCTTGGACTTCTGAGTACCATGCAGTTGCTAACGACTCTCCAATTTCTATCTCTGGCCCTGAGTTTTTCAATGAGCTTTAATACGCATACATTCAGCTTGCTACTCGTGGATCTAACAGGCATGTCAAAGTTAGTGTAGCGCCCAACTGTCATGGCTCAGCGGCTGAGTGTCAACCCATGAACCGGGAGATTGCGGTTCGATTCCCCGTCAGGGCACATGCCTGGGTTGGGGGCTCGATCCTCGGTATGAGGCCTGCAGGGGGCAGCCGATCAATGACTCTCTCATCACTGGTATTTCTATCTTTCTCTCCCCTCTTCTCTCTGAAATCAATAAAAACATATTTTTTAAAAAATGAGTGTAGCTAAACCAGAACTCTGTTCGCCATCCCTCCAACTCCTTCCTCCTGTCTCCCCGAGATCCCAGCCAAGTGTTATTGGTTATATACCCCCCACTCCTTACCTCAATCAGCTCCCCTTTGCTCTCCTTGGGAAAGTTTCCCACCACGTTAATTTAAATACAGTCTCTCTCAGTTAAGCTTCCTATTGAGTGAGCAGATCCTGGGCTTCCCTAGATCTCTTTTACTCCAGCATTCCCGTAATCCACAGGGATTGTGCTCTTTATAATTGTGCAAGGAGGGGTGTGAGGTGAGGCCTGACACTCATCTTTGACCACTGCATTGGTGATCCGACATGGTCTGCGCACAAAACCTTTGGAAGTGACATTGACCATGCAGTAGTTTTGTCACCAGGGTTTGATCTGACTGCGAGTAAACAAAAAATACTGCAAAATTTTATACAGCCACACAAATGCCATTAATCCTTCTTCATGCTTTTACTATCAAATAATAAATGAAACAAATATCCTTATCATATCATAGAATCTCAAGCATCCTCTGATCTCTAGGGATATGCACAAACATGGCCTGAAGAAAACATGGTACAAAATAGCCACATATCAAAGCCCTCACACCAAAATGACATCAAGTAAGCCAGGATGATAAATAAATGCACTAGTTTCATAAAACTAGTTAGAATGTCTGAAATATATTTTTGATAAAATCGCAAAGGTTCAAAACATCCATGAGTAAAATAACGTAAACTCTTAAAAAAACACTTTTAAAATCTCATAGCTATGACCTTGCCAAATTTTACAAAGTGGAGATCAGCTCTGGCCTTTAAAAGTGCTACAGTTTTAAAAATAAAATGATACCCAGATGGCAGCTCTAGGTAAATAGGGAAATAACTGAGGTGAGGAATTGTGAGCTCTACCTACAAAATAAAGTGGAAATTTGCCTTTTAATGGCTGGTAAAACACACACACACACACACAAAACCAGTCTCAGAAATAGAGTTTACTTTTCCAATGAAAACAAACCTTAAGTGAACTCTCTTTCTATTGCAGCCAGATGGAAGTGAGGACCCTGGAATAGCGGAGTGCTTTGAGATATAAACATCCACACAAATAAGAATGCCAAGGCCACTCCTGCCATTTAGCCTCAGGGGAGTAAGGCTGCTTTGGCTGAGGGTACAGGGTACTTATTTGCAGGGCAAGGAAGCTTCCTAGAGGCTACAGGTATAGGGTCATAAAAATTGTTGTTTTACCTGTTTATGTGCAAGGATACTAAACTGAAAGTTTCAGATAGAGCAAAATAGACAACAAAACCTACAAGGAGATGCTAACCCCAGATTTACAAATTTGGACACCTTGAAATCCCTCCTCCACGCCAAGGTAGGAAAGGGTGTAGGAGAGGAGCTGTTTGGAGGGGTCCCTGGAGTGCGCTGACTCCCACACACCCCTCCCAGAGGGCACGGGCATGTGCCCTAGCAGTCTGGGGTGACACTGCACGGGGATCTGAATCGTGCCTGAGAAATCTAATGGGAAGAGGGTAGCTGGACAGGTCTGTGCAGCACAGAAGAGGCGCTAAAGGGAGGAAGAAACTGCACACCCAGAGATTGTTGGGGCAAAGGACATCTGAGTGTTCTGCTGTGGACTGGATGTGGGTCATTAGAGAGAGGCAGGCTGGGTTTATTGGATCCTGTCCAGAAGGCCAGAATGGGCTCATCAGATTGCATTTTAGACACTTCGCCAAAGAGGACACACAGATGGCCAGGAGACATATGAGAAAATGCTCAACTTCGCTAATCATCAGAGATGCAAAGTAAAACCACAACGAGGTATCACTTCACACCTGTCAGAATGGCACCATCAACAAATCAATAAGTGACAAGTGCTGGCGAGGGTGTGGAGAAAGGGGACCCTGGTACACTGCTGGTGGGAATGCAGACGGGTGCAGCCACCATGGAAAACAGTATGGAGGTGCCTCAAAAAATTAAAAATGGGAGATGCCTTGTGACCCCACTTCTAGGAATAGATCCTAAGAATCCTGAAACACTAATCAGGAAGAATATGTGCACCCCTATGTTCACAGCAGTGCAGTTTACAACAGCTAAGATCTGGAGACAGCGCATTTTCCATTGTCGCCGTGAGGGCTGTGGGAAGCAGAGGACTCCCTTTCCTGGAGGCAAAGGAGAGGCGTACAGGCCTGACCGCTAACGGCAGTCATCTCGGACCAGGGAGACATCGAGTCCAGAGGTAAGTCGACAAAAAAGGACAGAGCAAAAGGACCAGCAGGAAAGTGGGGCATGAAGTATGGCCAAGTGGTACATCGGATCTGCCCTCCATCTGAACTCTTCGCTGCTAGGAGCCAGTGGACTCTCGTCCTGCCAAGTTAGCTTGAGCTGAGTTTTCTGGCATTTGGCACTGAAACCACTTCACTATATAGTCTTTTCTAAATGACCCGGGAGAAAATCCACAGTCCAAATCTGTGCTAGACTGGGATTGTCCAAAACCAAAAGAATGCAAAAGAACCAGAATGCCAACTTCCCGAGGCCTTCGCGTAAACTCTCTCCAGGCAGAGGTGGACTCTAACCCGAACGAGACATTAACTAAACGATGAACTTCTTTAGGCCCAAAGGTAAGAAACAGGGGGAGTCAATTATGTGTTACCTGGTAATGAACTCTGTGGGAGCCAGAAGAAACTGACTGCAGGTCCTAATGAGAAAATGGAAAAAAAATGCACATATATCCATACTTTAAGATTCGTTTGAAAAAGCTGCCCCTACAACTCGATCCCCTGAACTCCCAATTTAACATTATTAAAGTCATCTGGAAAGTATCTAACTCACTCAAATCCATCAAGGTTAAGCAAAGAAGATAATGCCAAAAATAATAAAAGCACACCAAGTTGGACTGAGAGAAGAAAGGCCATTCAGCTATTGAAACTTATAAATTTTAAACAGTGTTCAGAGGTGAGTGATATATTACAACCTCAAGGATAAAGAAGGCCAGAAGTGAAAGACAGGCAATTTTGTTCTAATAAATGGGGGTCATGTTTAATTTGCACCTGATCTTCTGGCTTGTGGAGAAAGCTTCTAAAGTCCCTCTAGGCAGTCAGAAAGAATTTATTTATCTTACACCAAATACATACTGTCCCGGTAATTGTGTTTATACTGGGAAGTTGCTGGGCAAACACGAGTTTTCAAAGACTGCAAAGAAAAAATCACTGGGCCCCTCGGCATTATCACGGAGAGCAAATTAACAGGGGTGAAGTTAATGAGGTTTTCCTGGCAGGTTCTGAGAGCCTGGCTCCCTTTATGAAGTTTTATAACGAAGTTGTCACCAATGTCATGTCCCGCACGCTTCCTTCTTAATGAGCGTAGTCCTTTTGTTTACAGATGTCAGCAATCCTGGGTAACTTTGGTCTCACACTGCTTCCCACAAGGATTTATCAACTTTCTCTCTGTGCCCCAGTTAGTTTTAAATTTTGCCTCTATGAGTTCGCTCTTTCCCTTTCTTTTTGAATCCCACTTCTAGTTGAATACTGGTGTGATAAGCATGCCAATACGTTGGTTTTCGTCAGTTATGTACTTTGCTACTGTGAAATCTTCAGCTACCCAAATGTTAAGAAAACACAGTTTGGTGGCAATTATGATTAACTTTCTATTGCAGATTTATTGAGTGAGGTTCCACAATAAAATACAAACATTACTTTGAAAAATGAGATCCTATGTCCTAGAAATATTGATTCGGACCTGAGTCACATGCTACAAAGTTCACAAATTTTAACATGTTAAAGTTAGCCTTGGTAAAAATAGCCAAATGAAGCATAAAATGTGTTGACTTTTCTTCTCTCACCCATAACGGTATTCAAAATTTAGCATTTACCCCAAAATATTTTGCATTCACTATTTCTCTGTCCTTAACAATGCTGAAGAGAAAAATTAATAATTGTCCACATTATTTTATGCCTACAACCTGAATTTATTTCAAGAGAACTAAAATCTAACATTCAAAGCTAAGTGGTTACCACTTGAAAGGATTTTAAACACTATATATTATCTTTATTTGTGATATTTAGGTATGTATAATGTTTTGTGTGGAAGAGAGCTGCTCATTTTGGGGTACCTATCAGAATCACCCAATAGCTCTGAAAATCTGAATGTCCAAAAAAAGTGATTCTAATGTGCATCTTTCATTAAGAAACAATGACAGCCAGGCCAGTGTGGCTCAGTGATTGAGCATTGACTTAGGAACCAAATGGTCACCGTTCAGTTCAATTCCCATTCAGGGCACATGCCTGGGCTGTGGGCTCAATCACCAGCAGGGGTCATGCAGGAGGCAGCTGATCCATGATGTTTCTCTCAACCATGTTTCTACCTCTCTATCCTGCTCCCTTCCTCTCTCTTAAAATCAATAAAAGCATATTTTAAAAAAAAGAAACAATGATAAAGTAGTTGCTATTTATACTTCTTGCAATTTGCAAAATAAAGAGAGTGACTACCCCCATCAAAGTTTTATGAAAGCAACCAACGACCACTGCAATGAGGGGGCTGGGTCTCCTGGCTTTGCTGGTGCAGTTCAAATTCATGGGAAGGTCATATATGAGACCTCTTCCTCTCTCTTTCTCTACGGTAAGACCAGATTGAGGGGAAAAATAGGTTATGCCTTTGTGTTCTAACACAAGTTTCTATGAAATATATGAAATTCGTCTTTCCTGTACAATTTACAATTTTTAAAAAAATCTAGCTGTCTCTGACAGAAGTCTGTGCTAGATACAAAACATTAAATAACCTCAAACCTCTGTTTTTTTTTCATTATTTATTAGTGTCCTTTGAAATTCTGTAGAGCTCAAAAAATACAAGTATGCAGTCTGGCAAGAAGACAAGAAGTTCCAAGCTACAGCTACGGATCACACTAGACCACCACCACTCGGTAGTTAACCCAAGCGATCTTTTCCCATTTCAACCACTTGCGCAGGGAAACCAGGGGGTGTGGGGTACTGGGGCGGGGAGAGGTGAGGAGTGGAGGGAGAGGATGCTGTATGTGATTAAAGGAAAAAGCTACCGAATTTCCACTCCTCCCCAAATGCATCATTTCAGAAACAAATAAAGATGGCTGGGAATTGTTTACAAAAATGGAAAGCTGAGCAACATATGTACTTGGCTATAGAAACTCACCTCCTGTAGGCGATCTATGTACATACGGCAAGTCTCCAAATCACAGTCTCCACGCACAACTAGAATACCCAGAGGGATGGCTAAGGGGGGAGAAAAGAGAAAAGTCTAAAATAAAATATTTGATTTTTCTAGATTGGCAGTCATGTGTTTTTGAGGGTTAAAAAACTATCAAAACTATTATTTTTCTTTTGGATAGTTTGATCCAAAATTCCCACTATACCTCCCTTCTGATCTCAATCTCTTTGTTTCTGCAGTTGTCACACTCTTTCCTTGCATTCCACGTCGCCCCTTGTCACCTGGCCGGCCTTCCTTTCATGTCCCCTCAGCGGCGCTGATATGCAGTGCAATGTCACGGGCACGGGGACTGGCAGGCCCAGGAGGCTGCTCACCGCCAAGTCATCATTTACGCCTCCATTTGCAATAGCCAACGTACCGCAGAGGAATGAAAAAATGATGATTCTGGACACTTACCCCTTTGTGTGCAGTGTGGGGTTTAATCTTCCTGTCTGCTTGCAACAGTTCCCTACCTGAGACACTCAACTACCCACGGCACTGTTGCTACCTGGTGGCCAACAGCAGAACTCAACAGGAGTAAGATGTTAAGGGGGGGCGGGGAGAAAGAAAGAAAAGGAAAGACTTCTAGAAGTTCATAGCTTAAAAATCCAACTGATTTTAAAGATGGCCAGTGTATATATGGTAGCAGCAAGGCTGCAGAAAATAAAGTGAAGCAATTAAGTGCCTTAAACACCTGATTTAGGAGGTGACAAATGTCACACAGAGGCTTCTCAGACAGAACCTCCTAATTCAGAAATAACCATAGATTCCTGAAATATTAAAAAATTGTCTCCTTCCCCAAACTTCAAAAATATGCATGTGCTTATTTCTGATTTTAAAAGTACAATTACACTATTAAATCCATAACTTAAAGAGAAAAATTGCAAAATCTTGAATGAACCAGCTAAAGGCCAGCAAGCAGATGATATGACAGTGATGTTCACTACAGATTTTTTTAAACCTCAGTGCTTGGAGTTAGTCTGGTCATAAATTCAATGAACTTGGTAGCAGATAGATATTTTAAACTACAATTAGAGAAAGGATTGTCCAGACCTGGAATCAAGATGGAATAACTGGGTAAAATTTTTCAAAGATGTGTCATTCATTTCTACTATGAGTATAAAATCAGCAACGTTGCCTATTTCTCAAGAAGCTTATTAAGAGAAACAGGGCTTTTGATTATTAGCTATTAATTGGAATATAAAAAAAGAAAAAGGCCTCCTCTACCACAACTTCCAAGCATGTTACTGATAATTGTTAAATTTATCCAGTGTGTGGTAGAAAGGATTTACAACCATTCTCTCTTGGATTCAAATCCCAGCACTGATTTGGTTTTATGAATCACCCACAGCGGCTATCTGGTCTTGCAAGGATCAATCCTCTGATCCTTGGATTGAAGACTATAGTCAATAGGCATCTTCTAAGACTTTCTGAATATTAAATGCAACACTATATTTAAAAATGACTAACTGAGCCTTGCCAGTGTGGCTCAGTGGTTGAGCATCGACTCTTGGGCCAGCAGGTCAGGGTTCGATGCCAGGTCAGGGCACATGCCTTGGCTCCACAACCCCAGGAGGAGAGTGCAGGAGGCAGCCAACCGATGAGTGTCTCTCATCATTGATGTTTCTATCTCTCTCCCTCTCTCCCTTTCTCTCTCTGAAATCAATTTAAAAAAATATTTAAAACAAAACTGATCCTTTATTAAAAACTGAGTAACTGAAACACTGCCTACTTCTCCACTCTCTTGACTCTCTTTTGAGCATCTTTAGCTAGAAAATGGATTCATCCAACCATCTATCTTTAAATTTATTGCAATACTATAAGGATTAGCTGTTAATAGTTCCATAATGGGGAAAATATCTGTAGCATATCAATACTCAGTCTCACACTTTAGTCTCACACTTTGGGACTTTACATGGTTAAGAGAAAGCAGAAAATTACCACCTTCCTTTTACATGACCGACCGCCAACTGCGAAACTTCACTCAAGTTTCCTTCGCCGACCTGGAAGCAGTGAGGGTGCCTATCACTTGAGCATTAGCATCACTTTCCCTGATCTTGATGGTTCTTCTCATTTTGACTTTAGAGATTTACTTGAGTCCAACAAGCTTCAACTAATACTCAACCTACACGATGAAACTTTCGTCACAGAGACCAAATGGGATGTGTAAGTTCTAAGGAGCAATAGAGGACAAGCTGGTTTCTAGATGAAGATGACAGATTTCTCTCTCACCAGAAATGCTACTAAATTTTAGTCAACGGATTTTAAAAGACATAAACCAATAAAAATTTTTTTAAAAGGGAGAAAAAAGTAACAGATGAAAAACAGACCCAGAGTCCCTACAGAGTCAAATTCTGAATCATGGATGGGAATGGTTGAGAGCCAATGCAGTCTACACTGCAAAACCCTACGAAGACTTGCAAGCTGGCAACATTAGGTGCCTCAGGAACAGAAGAAAAGGGACAGCTAAAATAAGATCCCCTCGCTGTTAGATCACTGGATTCCACGACCCAGTCTTGGCAGGTGCAGTTACTTTACAGAAAATGGGAATTAATTGACCATCTATCGAATGTAGAGATCCCCAGCTTTCTTCCATCACTGGGCTCTCCAAAAGCCGGCAGCCGGAGAAAATATTTCACCTATTAAATATAAACATGAGTATATTTTTAAAATATGAAAAGTGTGAAGAAGAAAAAAGAGGAGCACCATTCAAAGAAGCAAAAAATACAATAAAGTCCTTGAAAATTTTTGATAGAAATAGAGGTTAATAGAAAGGTTAGAAGATGAAGTTGAGGCAACCTCCACAGAGGTAGGGGAAAAATAAAAACAGGTTTTCAAAACCACTCAATATTTGGATTAGAGATTCCTACCCTGGTGGTAAATATATATCTATCAAGAGAATGGGAAATACAAAAATCAGTATACTAGTTATCTTAGTAGGAGAGGGGTGAAGGGAGGTGCTTGTTCTGTTTCTTAATCTGGGTGGCAGGTACATGGATGCCAGTTTTACTATTCATCTTTAAACCTATGCAGTGATATACATACATATGTATGTGTGAGTATGTATGTAATACACATATATGTATAAGTGTATGTGTGCATATGTGAGCAGAGGTCTCCAGAGCAGCACTGGCTAATGGCTACTCCATTAGCCACATGTCATACTGAGTCACCGAAATGTATTCAGTATGGCTGAAGAACTAAAGTTTTTACCTTACTTAATTTTAATTAATTTAAAGTTTAAATAAGCACATGTGGCTAGTGAGCATTAAAGTTTTGGTCTCCGGGGAATCAAAAACTTGCATTTCCTTAGTACCAGATTCTATATATGCCAAAATCATCCATATTTTTACCTTCCCACAAATAGTACATAGAGCCAACCAATAAAAACCATTTTTCTCTTTGCCCTACCTAGTTGGATCAGATGTGCTTCCTAATTTCTAGCAATTGTATTCATTGGCAGATTGACAAATTTATTTCCCTTACCCTGCCTTTCCTATTTTAGCACCCTTATTCACTTCTCTGTCCCTACTTCTATCAAAACATACTCTGATGCTTCTTGATTCTTGAGTATAAATGACTGATAATTGATTAAAGTGTTAATCTTCTAAGGATCACTTGAGTTTTAACATGTTTGACATTTGGACTAACGTAATGGTCACAGGCGGAATGTTTGTGTGCCCTCAAAATTGATATGTTGAAGCTCTAACCCCCAAAGTGGTGGTATTTACAGATGCAGCCTTTAGGAAGTAATTAGGGTTAGATGAGGTCATGAGGGTGGGGCCCTCGTGATGAGATTAGTGCCCTTATAAGAAGAGATACCATAGAGCTTGTACTTGTGGGCACTCTCTCTCGCCTTCCCTCTCCCATTTGAGGACACAGCATGAAGGCTGCCATCGATGAGCCAGGATGAGAGCTCTCACCAGAAACCAAATCAGCCAGCACCTTGGTTATGGACATTCCAGCCTCCAGAAACGTGAGAAAATAAGTTTTTGTTTTTAAAGCCACCCAGGCTATGATATTTTGTTATGGCAACTCTAGCAGACTAAAACAATGGTAAAGTTTTGATAAATTTAGATACAGAAATATGAAAGACATTGTGGAATTAACTGGAGATCCTCAACCTTAAGAAAATTATACCACCAATTACTTCTTCCCAGACAAAACATGAGCCTTGTCCTGGCTCCCCTCTCAGGCCTGACCCTGGCCTCCATTAACCCCCTTTCCCTGTGTTCTGTTTGTATAAATGCCTCATCATTCAGAATGTGATTAAGTTAATTGGTTTAAAAAACCATTATATATTTCCCATACGCATGCTCTGGATTTTATGTGTGAAATAAAATGCCAAAAGGTCATACAAATTAATTCTACCTTTTATACTTGAAGTTAGGACTACTTGAACTCATTATGCAAATTTATGCCAAATAGTGCATAAATTAACACTGTTCATCTTCAACAAATTGCAAATCTTCTAGCAACAGCTCCACAAGCATACTCTTTTTCTGTAAAAAACGTCTAAAGTACATAAGCAGTAAAATAAAATATGGTTTCTAAAATACATATTTCACCACTAATGATAAGCAGAGTCAGGAAGAGACCAAACTCATACCCTAGATGTGGATCTGAATTGCCCAAGGCTTTAAAAATCAAAGTTTCAAAAAAGCTATTAAATTAAAATTGTCTAGAGTACTTTTTAAGCAAACTTGGACAATGTTTTACAACGAGCTGCCAGTATAATGCAAAAGACAATCAAATAATTTCCTCAAGTGAATTTGTTATTTGATTGACAAAAAGCAAAAGACCTGAGAGGACCAACTCAGCAGTGAAGCCCCTTGCAGAGATCTCCGCAGCAGGCTCTACTCTGGGACAGCCATAAGAACGTGCCTGAGTTGTGTTGAGGCCAATGAGTCCACAATGTAAGGGACTCTGAGATAAATAAAAATACAAAATTTTGTGGATTTCCAGATGCAAAACTATTTCCTGCTGGCCTGACCGAGGAGCTCATCCTGACCCAGGTGCTCTGAGC